CTTAGCTCCTTTGTCAAAGATTAGCTGCCCATAGATATGAGGTTTTATTTCAGGACTTTCAATTCTGTTCCATTGATCTGTGTGTCTGTTTTTGTACCAGTACCATGCTGTTTTAATTACTATCGCTTTGTAGTGTGTTTTGAAGTCAGGGATTGTGATGCCTCCAGCCTTGTTCTTCTTTTTCAGGATTGCTTTAGCTATGCGGGGTCCTTTGTTGCCCCATGTGAATGTTAGTATTCTTTGTTCTGTTTCCGTGAAGAATGTCCTTGGGGTTCTGATTGGGATTGCACTGAATCTGTAGATTGCTTTAGGTAGTATGGACATTTTAACAATGTTTATTCTTCCAATCCAAGTGCATGGAATATTTTTCCATTTCTTTGTCATCATTGATTTCACTCAGTAATGTCTTATAGTTTTCATTGTATAGGTCTTTCACTTCCTTGGTTAAATTTACTCCTAGATATTTTATTCTTTTTGTTGCAATTGTAAATGTGACTGTCTTCTTGAGTTCACTTTCTGTTAGTTCATTGTTGGTATATAGAAATGCAACTGATTTCTGTAAGTTGATTTTGTACCCTGTCACTTGGCTGTAGTTGTTGAGTATTTCTAATAGTTTTCCAATGGATTCTTTATGGTTTTCTATATATAAGATCATGTCATCTGCAAACAGCGAGAGTTTCACTTCTTCGTTGCCTATTTGGATTCCTTTTATTCCTTTTTCTTGCCGAATTGCTCTGGCTAGAACCTCCAGTACTGTGTTGAATAAGAGTGGCAAGAGTGGGCACCCTTGTCTTGTCCCCGTGTTCAGAGGGATGGCTTTCAGTTTTTCCCCATTGAGTATGATGTTGGCTGTGGGTTTGTCATATATGGCCTTTATTATGTTAAGGTACTTTCCTTTTATATCCCTTTTGTTGAGAGTTTTTATCATAAATGGATGTTGGATCTTGTCAAATGCCTTCTCTGCATCTATTGAGATGATCATATGGTTTTTATTCCTCGTTTTGTTAATGTGGTGTATCACATTGATTGATTTGCGGATGTTGAACCATCCCTGTGTCCCTGGTATGAATCCCACTTGATCATGGTGCGTGATGTTTTTAATGTATTGCTGTATTCGGTTTGCCAATATTTTGTTGAGGATTTTTGCATCTATGTTCATCAGGGGTATTGGTCTGTAGTTTTCCTTCTTAGTATTGTCTTTGCCTGGTTTTGGTATCAGGGTGATGTTGGCCTTGTAGCATGTGTTGGGAAGTGTTCCATCTTCCTCTATTTTTTGGAATAGTTTGAGAAGGATAGGTATTAAGTCTTCTTTGAATGTTTGGTAAAATTCTCAAGAGAAGCCATCTGGTCCTGGACTTTTATTTTTTGGGAGGTTTTTGATTACTGTTTCAATCTCTTTACTTGTGATTGGTCTATTCAAGTTCTCTATTTCTTCTTGATTCAGTTTTGGGAGATTGTATGAGTCTAGGAATTTATCCATTTCTTCTAGATTGTCCAATTTGTTGGCATATAGTTTTTCATAGTATTCTCTTATAATCTTTTGTATTTCTGTGATATCTGTTGTCATTTCTCCTTTTTCATTTCTAATTTTATTTATTTGAGCCTTCTCTCTTTTTTTTTTGGTGAGTCTGGCTAAGGGTTTGTCAATTTTATTTATCTTCTCAAAGAACCAGCTCTTTGTTTCATTGATCCTTTCTATTGTTTTTTTAATTTCAGTTGCATTTATTTCTGCTCTGATTTTTAGTATTTCTCTCCTTCTGCTGACTTTAGGCTTTGTTTGTTCTTCTTTTTCTAATTCTGTTAGGCGTAGTTTGAGGTTGCTTATTTGG